CTCTTCTTCCTGCTCTGAGTGGGAATAATATGGGAAATTTCTGGCTTTACTCTAGGACACCCCCTAGTGGGAGTAACCCCTTCTTTGTGTCCCCATTCCTGTCGTCTCCAATGCTCCACTATTACTGTGTCTTCTCCTATCACATCCCACAATCTTTCCTCTTACCCATGCCTCTTCTTTCCCACTTCCCCAGACCGAATGGACCTAGAGGAACCAGAGAAAGTGGACAAATTGCAGGAGCCGCTCTTGGAGGCTCTGAGGTTGTATGCAAGGCGGCGTCGGCCCAGCCAGCCCTACATGTTCCCAAGAATGCTCATGAAGATCACTGACCTTCGAGGCATCAGTACCAAGGGTCAGCCTGGAAGGGGGAAGGGTGTGATAGAGGGAGGAGTGAATTGGGGAGAAAGCCTGGGTCCACTTGGGAACCACATTTCCTATACACCCAGCCTCTGCCCTAGAACTCTGTCCTTGGTTCAGGGAGAGGGAGAGGAGAAGGAAAGCCAGAGGAGGCCTGTTCTCTGGGAGTACCCAGACTGATGGGGAGAAATGGGACAGACTTCAGACATGTACTAGCTGTGTGATCCTGGGCAAGTCACTTAGCCTCTGTCTGCCTTAGTTTACTCATCAGTAAAATGGGGATAATTTTACCTACCTCCCAGGGTCATTGTAAGGATCAAATGAGATAAGATTTGTAAAACCTGTTGCAGACTGTGAAGTGCTATATAAATGCTGTCTGCTATTACTACTACTACTACTGCTGCTGCTGTTACTGTAACTACTACTACCACTACTACCATCACCACCACCACCACTACTACTATTGTTGCTGCTGCTACTATTGCAACTACTACTACTACCACCACCACCACCACCACCACCACCCATGGCATAATGATAACTCACTTTAAAAAAAAATCTTTCCTCATAAGCCACCATGTGAGGCAGGTGCATATGAGAAAACTGAGTCTTAGTAGAACCCAGTCTCAGTACCCAGGGTCACATAACTAGTATATGTTAATGCTTGTATTTGAACCCAGATCTTACTCCAAGGCAAATTCTTTCCACTGTATACACCACAGCCTAAGCACAAATGGGTTGACTTTCCACATCGGCAATGTGGCTCATAGGATCAAAGTTAGGACTGGGGACAGTTTCTCTGAAAAGGCTTCCAGGAAGAAGGAGGAAGGAAATAGGCATTTATTAAGCACCAACTATATGTCAAGCCTTGCGCTGAGCATTTTTCAAATATTCTCTTATTTGATCCTCAACAATTCTAGGAGGGAGGGGCTGTTATCTCCATTTTGCAGTTGAGAAACTGAAGTTAAGTGACTTGCCCAGGGTCACACTGCTAGTAAGTGGTTGAGGCTGGATTTGACCTCTAGTCTTCCTGACTCCAGGTTCAGAATTCTAGCTGCCCCTATACAGCAAGGTTAGGAAGGAATAAGGGGAGAGAGAGGATTGGGTAGAGGAGAGGCATCCCATTTTGGGAAGTACCCATTTTAAAAGCTTACAGATAGCAGAGAGTAAGGAATGTGTGTATCGAGGTGGGGACCCTTGCTGTCAGACTGGACTAGGGAGTCTGTGCTGGGAAGTCCCAAGAGATGAATGGGAACGAGGCGGGTCAGAGGTAAGAGAAGCAATGAGGTCTGATCACTTCTTCCATGGGGTCCTCCTCTTCACAGGAGCAGAACGAGCTATCACCTTGAAAATGGAGATCCCAGGCCCAATGCCTCCCCTGATCCGGGAAATGCTGGAGAACCCTGAGATGTTTGAGGACGACTCCTCGCAGCCTGGCCCCAGACTGGAGCCCCCCAGCGAGGATGAGGGAATAGGGGGTGGGGGTGATGGGGACCTCAGCCCTGCCCCTGACCCAGACCCCTGACTTCCCCCTGCTGTGGTGGTGGTGGTAAGGGGTTTTCAGATACCAGGGTAATAGACTGACCATCCCCACCAGTGACTGGGAGAGGACCCTATGTGCCCTCTCTTCACTCCCATTCCCCAAACCAGCACCAGTTTGAGCTCCTTGTTTTTGCCAAAGTTTTCTGGGCTATGTGTCCATCCTTTACCCTCACCAAGTCCTAACTGGGCTTCCTCCCCACAATTTTGTGGCTGGGACCTGATTCCTGTGCCTCCCTCCCCACTTTAGGGAGATCTAATGGGAGGGGTAGATGGGGTCTCAGCTATGAATCTAGGAGCTATCTCTTGGACATCAGGATCCCTCAGTTCTCCAGGCAGGGAGAAGGGGGAGAACCTTTGTTGGTGCTGAGTAGGTGAGGACCTTGTCTCCCATCCCCCCCAACCCCCCACCCCCACCCTGTCAGAGGAGAGCTCCAGGAATAATTAGGAACACTAGAGACCAAAGGGAGGAGCAGGGGGGCTGGGCCAGCTGCCTCCACCCCCTTGTGACCGCTGTGCAATGCCCCCTGCCTGACACACACTGCCCTCTGCCTCCCTGTGTGCCAGGCTCAGGGTAGGGGGTAGCTGGTCCCCCCCCAGTCCTGTGGGGGCAGTGAAGGGGGGGCAGATGCAGGCCCGTTCTGCACCTCTTTGCTGATGGCTCCAGCGTGTACTCCCCCTTTCCCCATGCTTCCCCCACAAAAAGGGAAGTGCCCTCCGTTAAGAATCCCCCAGCCCTACTATGTGCCTTGGGTGCCCCCCGCCCCCCATCTCAGCCATCGGGGCGGAACCCTTCTACACTACAGAGGGGCCTGGGAAGCCCCTCCCTCTCCACCCCTAGTGCCTTCCCCCCACAATACCCCAGAGCAGCTCAGCCCAGGGAGGGGAGGGCTGCTTAGCTGATCCCAACCCTACCCAGAGGAAGCCTCTTATTTATTTATTAGCTTTTGTTTACACCCTGGAATTACCCCCCATCCCCCTGGGGGTTCTGGGGGTGGAGCCCAGGGCCCCTTCTGATTCCCAACCCCTGGTTTGTATTTAGCTGCCAAATAAAATTCCCACTGGCCCCCCTTTTTCTCTGGGGGGGCTGGGTGCTGTCCCCTCCCCCCCTTTGTTTACATCCCCCTTCCCTCCCGCTGTATCGCATATTGCTGAGTTTTCTATTTTTGCAAAATAAAGTGATGGAAACTCAATGGGATCTGACTTCATCCGGTGGGGAAGCGGAGTTGGGGGAGGCCAGTAAGACTTGCCTGAAAGGCTAAGGTGAGGGCTTGTGGTCTAGCAGGTGTTCTTTTCCCTCCCACCCCCACCTCCTCACTGTAGGCTTTCGCCACCACCCACTCCTCAGGCAGATGGGTGAGAATACAGCCAAAGGGAAAGAGATCTGGGACTCTTGGCTGGGAAGGGGGAGGGCTTGGTGTGAGTACTGGGTAGATCTACCCCAGTCCTACCTGCGCCTGTATCTTCCGTGGCCACTAGAGGGTGGCGACGTGGTTCACACAGCCAGTTCTCCCTACAAAACATTCTTCAGACAGCCTATTTCTTAAGATTCTTAGCATCTTAGATTTAGATCTGTAAGAGGCCTTTTGAGATCTTCAGCAGAAGAGAAAACAGGTCTGGGGAGAGGGGTATGGCTTGCCCAAAGTTATATATCCAATAAGTTGCAGAGCTTGGATCGGACCATGGGTCTCCTGACTTTGTCTCCTTCACTCCTTCCAACCATATTCTCCACCTGGGTGCCTCCCCTTGACACTCCCCCCCCCCACACACCTTAGGCATGATCTGTGTTTGATTTCCTGAAGAGAGGAATTGGGGATAAGAGCCTAGATAGTCTCCAGACTTTGTCTTTTCAGAAAGGTCAGTGCTGGGAGTGGGGAGATACAGGACAGAAGAGGCCACAGGTGGGAAGTGTGGGGAGCTAGGAGCTAAGCAACCAGGAATCAGGAGAAAGTGGAAGCTGGGGGCAGCTAAGTGTCGAAGTGAATAGAGCACCAGCCTAAAGTCAGGAGGACCTGAGTTCAAATGTGCCCTCAGACACTTGACACTTACTAGCTGTGTGACCCTGGGCAAGTCACTTAATGCCATTGCCTAGCAAAAAAAAGCACACACAAAAAGTGGAAGCTGGAGAGGAAACCATCAAACAGGTTGGGGCCAGGGTGGACAGGGTGGATGACTTGAGGGTAGATAATTAGGGGGCAAGGCTGTTACTGTAGGTCCCAAGATAGCTTCCTTAAACTAGAGCAGGTCACCCTTCTCTTCCTTCCAGGCTCCCCTGGCTAGTCCTTGTTTTCATAGTATCTATAGGATCGGGGAAGGGAAGGATTCAGGCAAGGAGTCACACCAACACATTTCTCATCCCTAGTATTTGACCCCATACTCCACTAGGGTATTCTAGGGACTCTGCTTCCTGGATATTGCTTTCTACTACAGACAAAACACAGGTTTCTTTCTTAGTGTTTTTTTTAAAAGCCTTATTTTTTAATTTTATTTTTTGGGGAGGCAGTGGGGTTACGTGACTTGCCCAGGGTCACACCAGCTAGCGTCTAAGATCGAATTTGAACTCATGTCCTCTGAGTATATGGCCTGCTGCTCTATCCAATGTGCCACCTAACTAAACCCTGTGAAGCTTCTCTTAGACCTGATCCTGGATCCTTCCTACCCAAGGCCAGACTTGACATCCTCATTCAATCTATAACCCTTAGGTATAGATCTTTTCTCCCCATCTTGTGCCTGTTCTCTTGTTCCTCTGTCATTTACTTTTCTGATCTCTGGTGCCTACAGCCCTCTTCAGTTTCCACCTCCCATCTTCGTCATCTTCCCGTTCTGTCTTTTCCAATTTTAGCCTAGGTTTCTCCATCCACCATACCTCTATCCCTCCCTACCCTCTCTCCACAATGACTCCCAACCAACATTATCACCCAATTTCTCCTTGGCCTTCCCGTCTTTCTGCTGCCCCTCCTCCACTCATCCTCCCTCTCTCTGCTATCTTCTAGTCACCCTCCCTTCCCCCTACCCTGCACACACGCACACATTCCCCCCCCCCCAAGTTCCCCCTCCAACTCTGGGTGTGTCACTTCCTCCCCAGTCCGCCCCTAGGCAGATGCAAATAGCACAAAGGCAGATACTGCAAGAGAAAGCACTCTGCACCTGTGAGTACTGGACAACCCAATCCCTTTACCTGTAGCTCCCTCCAAGTTCAGACTCTGTCCTCCACACCTCCTAAGGGAAAGGGAAAGTTTCTGAACCAGTGAGGCTGGACCCCTAGGCCCCACAGACTGCTCCCCATGAGGACTTCTGAGTCCCACAGCCAGGAAGGAGTGAGGGAAGGGAACTCTGGATTCCTGAATCTTGCCTAGGTTTTAAGATGGCTATCTTGCTCCTGAGGGGGAAGCTTAAGCTTTCTCATAACTCCATGCGCACTTACCTTTCTGATTTTATTTTTCTAGGCAGGGGACTGGGGGGTGAGGGGAAGATGACAGGGGGGAGAGAAAAGAGATAAAGAAGGGAGGGACTTCTGTGTGACCTGAGGCAAGTCACAACCCCAATTGCCTCACAAAAATTAAAAAAAAAAGGAGGGACTTCTTTAGCATCCCAAAGTTAATTGCAATTGTCCTTCCTCCTTGGGTCTCAACTTAGCACCTCTTCTTCCTAATATCTGTTTAACTCTCCCATCTTGGACTCCCAAATGAGCACACATTCTCTAGGGAAAAGAGGGTAAACAGACTTGGGTGACCACTAGGCATTGTTTCCATCCTCTCCTAGTGTCCCTCAAAGGTACTGAGTCCCTATGATTGTGGACAGAGGGGTCAGTACTAAGGCAGGAAGGTAACTTGGACAAAGGGCATCTATGTTCTAGGCTTTGTTTTCCTACCAGTGTGGGAAAGAAGGAAATAACAAGAGGACTGTGTACTTTAGGGAGAATATGATTTAAGGTCCTGGAGTTAGGACCAGCGGAAATCAGAGAAATGAGAAGAGATTAGAGGAGAAAGAAAAGAAGACTGAGGGACACCCAAATGGTGGTGGAAATGGAAGAGAGAGGAAATAGTAAAGAGAGAACTGGATGGAGCCGATTAGACATAACTTGGACTTTGATGATGGGGGTTAGGATTGTGGGGAAGGACAAAGAGGAGGGAGCAGTAGAAGGGGGAAAGGAAGAGGGAGGGTTGGTGGGGGGTGAGACCATTGTTACAGAGAGAGAAAAACAGTAAAAATGGGGAAAGGTGACGGAGTAAAAGGAAGGAGTTGAGGGAAAAAGAGACGAGGGGCAGAGTTGAGTGGAAGAGGAATTGGGGGACAAAGCTAAGTGGAAAGACCATGACTCCTCCAAACTGGGATAAGAGTAAGGGCATGGATGAGGATTACACACTGTTTTTGAGTTTGTCCCCCAAGGTTAGGGGTTCTAGAAGGGTGGAGGCCCTGAGCTTTGTAGGAAATGAGTCAGAGCCAGGAAAGATGCTATCATTTCTCCCCCCACAAACACATACATTAACCACATAGAATTGAGGTTAGACTGAAGCTATGCACTAGGCCCCCCAGAAGGGCCTAGTAAAGGGGGGGGTGGTACAGTACATTGCCTGAATCTAGAGGTTGGAGGGGGGGAATGGAGAGAAAAAGGGGAACAACTCTATCTCCCTGCCTCTCTTTGTCGGCTTCCCCATACTCCAGGGCTCACTTAGCTCTGAGCCTGCAATTACCCTTGGAAGAAGTGTGCACAGATACCTTGTCTGCATTTGTACAGCAAGAAAAGTTCACCTGGCCCTCCAGAAACTATATCAGCTACAATCTTACATTCAGGTCAGATAACCCCTGAGGCCTCTTCTAGGGTAGGAGGGAATATCTTCCTACTAACTCTAACCCTTTCCTTCTCCCACCCAAGATCTTTAGAAAGTCTAACCTGGATTCTCATGTTATATTCAGTCCTCAGGAGTGTTCTTTTCTCTTTGTTTCTTCCATATGCCATTCTTTTTTTTAATTATAAAAATATTTTTTATGCAATTGGGGTTAAGTGACTTGCCTAGAGTCACACAGCTAGATAAGTGTCAAGTATTTGAGTCTGGACTTGAACTCAGGTCCTCTTGACTTCAGGGCCGGTGCTTTATTCACTGGGCTACCTAACTGCTTCCTCCATGTACTGTTCTTTTCAGTCCCACCTATCTGCCTTCCCTTCCCTTTCCACTATCCTTCTCTTCTTCAATCCCAATACCCAAATGTCTTTGACTATCCCTCGAATCACTGAATGTCACAGCTGGAAAGAGATCTTTCAGATCATCTAACCTTATCCTCTCATTTTCTACTAGACAGTAAGTAGGTTGGTTTGGAAATAGGTGATTTTATGGTTCCTTGGGGCTCTGCACACAATGGGTGCTTAATAAATGTTCGACTTATCAATTGATTTGCAATGAGGCAAGTGGGGTCCACAGAAGCCAATAATTTGCACAATTTCTCACAGCCTAGCTGGCTGTGAACCCAGATTTTTGGACTCTGGATCTAATGCCCTTTCCATCATACCACACTCCCTCCTTGAATACAGATCTGACTTTCAATTCTTTCGCTTATCTGAAAGTAGAAAACTAATCTCTTCTGCCTTTATTGTCTTGAGTTCAGGTCCTGCTTCCTCTCTCTCTCAGGATCTGTCTTCTCCCTGTGTCTCGGACCCCCTCCCCCCTCCAAATCTTAGAGAACTACTGAGTCTATAGGGGGAAGTGAAACTCAGGGGTGTGGAGATAAGGAGATGGGGTGGGGTTTGGACGGGAGACCACACGCTAAGCTTGAAGACTGATGGGGAATAAGTTGACCCGCTGAGCACCTTCAGTCCTTTCGCCTGCTTTCCATTGTAGGCTATGAGAGCTGGAGCTTTTGCAATATCCCTAGGGCTCCTACTGGCCTTGGGCAGTGGCCAGAGGGAGCCAGATGCCAGGGACCTATCTGCAGATGAGACCCTGGGGGAAGAAGATACTGATCTGTCACCTTCTGGGTCCTGCCAATCAGTCTCCTCCTGTAGGGAATGCATCCTTTCCCACCACAGTTGTGCCTGGTGCAAGCAACTGGTGAGGGGGCATTTTGGACTGTGATTGGATATGTATGGGGCAACTGACTCTGTGTGTGTGTGTGTGTGTGTGTGTGTGTGTGTGTGTGTGCGCGCGCGCGCCCGCGCGCGTGTGTTGGGTGCTGTGGGGGCGGTGGGGGCCCGTCTTGCCTTCTTGCTTGTCACTCTACGCTCTCTACAAGAAGTTTGAGGGCCTGGACCCCGGGCGGTGGTTGGGAAGGGGCCATAGGATGGGGAGGGGAGGCCAGGGCTTGCATTGAGGAGCGGCGGGGAGGAAGCTTCGAAGTCAGGTCAGGGAGAGAGTGCGGCTAAGGATTTACCGAGAAAGAGGGATGGCGGGGATGCCGGGTCGGAGCGGAGTCAGTGTGGGAAGCATGTGGATCCCTGACAAGCCTCCTCCCGGCCCGCAGAACTTCACCGCCGTGGGGGAGGCGGAGGGGAGGCGGTGCGCCCGGCGAGAGGAGCTGCTGGCCCCGGGGCTGCCCCTCCGAGGAGTTGGAGGAACCCCGAGGACAGCAGGAGGTACTACAAGATGAGCCCCTCAGCCAGGGAGCACAGGGCGACGGCGCCACGCAGCTGGCCCCGCAGAAGCTTCGGGTTAAGCTGCGGCCGGGTGAGCCTGGGGGTTGGAAGGAGGGATGGAATGGGCTGGAGGCTGGGGGAGGCGGGAGAAGGGATCCTGAACGCTGTGGAGTTGGGCACTTGGAAGGGATGATGACAGTCCCCCGTCCGGCTGTGACCCCACCCACAGGCGAGACACAACGGCTCCGGGTCCGCTTCCGTCGAGTCGAGGGCTATCCGGTGGACCTGTACTACCTCATGGACCTGAGCTACTCCATGAAAGACGACCTGGAGCGAGTGCGCCAGCTGGGACACGCGCTCCTGGTCCAGCTCAGGGGTGTCACCCGCTCGGTGCGTATTGGTGAGTTCAGTACACCCCTGCACAATCTCTCCGCACCCCAGTCTACGCCCTAAGCCAGGACAGCCTCCAGAGACACACCTGGACCGGTCTCCAACCCCCTCAGGCTACTATCTTCGAAGACCCTCCCCTTCACATACACCAGAGGTTGTCTATACCTGGACCCCATAGTTGTAAAGGTCTGGGCTCTCTCCCCGAACATCCCAGGTCACCAGCAAGGTGGGCTCGGGACTTGCAAGTAGCTTTGTACAAGATTCACCCCTACCTTTCCCCTCAGCCTTAACCTGAGCTCCACATTCAAATGCCTAGTCCCTTTGCTCTCCTTTAAACAACCTCCATCCCCAAACTCCCTTTCCCTGGCTGCCTTCTTCCACCTAGACCTATTTCCCCATTCATTTTTTCCTCCTTTCCTAAACCCTGTTTATTCCTCAACTTTCATGAATTTCTAGCTTTTACAACCTTCTAATCACTCCCCACCCCTTTGGGAACCTCCAGTTACCCATTTTATTCTTTCCACCCCAAAGCCTACCCTACAGACTTTTAATTCTTTCTATTTCCTAATGTTTGATACTCCCAGCATGTATCCACTCTATTCAAGTATGTGAAGGGCTGAAAGTGGAAGAGATTTGTTCTGGATGGATGGTTTAAGGACAGTTTTATGCCTGATTTAAGGGGGAGAGTTCTTAACAATTACAATTGTCCAAAAGTGGAGTGGCTTGCTTCAGGAGATAAGTAGACTTCTTTTCCTGGCAGCTAGGTGATGCAGTGGATAGAGTACCAACCCTGGAGTCAGAAGGCTCTGAGTTCAAATGCAGCCATAGATACTTACCAGCTGTGTGACCCTGGGCAAGTCATTTAACCCTGATTGCCCCCCCCCCCCAGAAAAAAGTAGGAGTTAGACAATAGCTTGTCTGGGTATTCCTGTTCAAGTACAAATTGACCGTCTCTGACAAGCTCTTTTCAGTATTGAGATTTTGTGGTTCTGAGTGTATCAACTAAAATTTGCCTCACATACCATTATGGCATGTCTGAGTCCCCTGCTCCCAAAAGTGCAACTTGCCCGGGCTGTCCCTTGGTCCTCTTTCCTAGACATCCTTTTCTTCTCACTATTCCAGGCTTTGGTTCCTTTGTGGACAAGACGGTGTTGCCCTTTGTGAACACGTTGCCCTCCAAGCTTCAACATCCATGTCCCACGCGGCTAGAAAAATGCCAGCCACCCTTTAGTTTTAGACACGTGCTGCCCCTCACTGATAATGCCTCAGCCTTTGAGCATAAGGTTGAGCAACAGAGTGTGTCGGGCAACCTAGACTCACCTGAAGGGGGTTTTGATGCCATCTTGCAAGCTGCCCTCTGCCAGGTGTGTGTGTGTGTGTGTGTGTGTGTGTGTGTGTGTGTGTGTGTGTGTGTTGGGAGAGGGACAAAGAGGGATAGGCTGGGGATTGAGGGGTGGGGGGATCTGGAAGCTAGGGCTTGGGGGGGGTAGGATCTGAAAGACAAAGGAGGGAGCACTAAACCCAGAGAAGCTAGGGGAATGGGGAGTTGGGGACAAAGGCATAGGAATAGCAGAGAATTTCATGGATAAAGAATTTCATGAGAGGGTTTGGAGGGAAAAAGAAAAACCCAAAGGCAGAGCCTTGGACAGATTGATCTCTGAGAGTCTAAAATGTTGCCACTAGCTGCCAGCGAGGTGGCTGTGGTGGTAGGAGATATCGAGACACTGATATATTTATTTCCCCCTCACCTCAGTATCACTCTTGTACCCTAGGAGCAGATTGGCTGGAGAAATGTGTCCCGGCTGCTGGTGTTTACATCAGATGACACATTCCACACGGCAGGGGATGGAAAGTTGGGTGGCATCTTCATGCCCAGTGATGGACACTGCCACCTGGATGCTAATGGTTTCTATAGCCGAAGCCGAGATTTTGTGAGAGCCTTAAGCCCTACCTCCTTTACCAACTATAGCAGCTCCCTTTCTTTCAGCCAGGTCCCATTCCCTGCCTCTCTGCCTCCTGGAGCTACCTAGCCACAGGACAGCCCTTAGAGGAGAGGGTCCTTGAATTTAAAAAGATCTGGGGTCCTTGAATTAAAAAAAATTTTTTTTTGATCACTGTATTTCAATAGAGCTAGTTTCCCGTAAAGTCCTATGTATTTTATTTTATTATTATTATTATTATTATTTTGGTGAGGCAATTGGGGTTAAGTGACCTGCCCACTGTCACACAGCTAGTGAATGTTATGTGTCTGAGGCCAGATTTGAACTCAGTCGTCCAGACTCCAGGGCCGGTGCTCTATTCACTATGGCACCTAGCTGCCCTTCTATGTATTTTATCTTATACATTTAAAAACATTTTTTTTTTGAGAAGGGATTCATAGGTTTCACCAGACACTGCCGAAGGGGTCCAGGATACCAGAGTCAGAGGGTTTATGGAAATGACCTCTCTGTTTCTTTCTTTTTTTTTTTTTTAAGTTTTGGAAAGCACATTACATGTATTTATTTATTTATTTTTAATTTATGGAGAATAAAACAAGCATTTCCATAACATAGTATAATAAAAAAGATGATTGCACACAAAACTGCAAATCTATTATGTGCAACTTGCTTTTCCTTTTAAATATATAATAAAGTTATATAAATTTTTTTCCCTTTCCTCTTCCCTCCCTCCTCCCTATGGCTACCATTAGACACAGATAGATAGATATGTAAAATAATTATTCTATCCTTTCTGTTTCTCAGGACTACCCTTCTGTGGGTCAAGTAGCCCATGTTCTATCTGCTGCCAACATCCAGCCCATCTTTGCTGTCACTAGTACCGCATTGCCCGTCTACCAGGTGACCCTTTTTTGGACACCAGATCCTTCAATCTCCCCAATCCTCTTGACTTCCCCTACATCTCCAGCCTTCCACTCTTCTCAGCGTCTGCCAGCTTGATCCCTTTTTCCTCCCCCTTGGAACCTCTCTAATGATCCCTGTGATTCCTTAGGAGCTGAGTAAGCTGATCCCCAAGTCAGCCGTCGGGGAGCTGAGTGAGGACTCCAGTAATGTTGTGCAGCTCATCATGGATGCATATAATGTAAGACTGGAACCAGGTGGGGGGAGGGGAGAAGAGCACAGGGACCGAGTGGGCAAAGTTGATGAATGGGGGTGGGGTTGGGGGTGGAGAAGGGGACCATTCAAAGGTCTTGAGGAAGGACTGGGCTGCTTGGTGGGGGTGGCCAAAATGAAGAGGAAGAAATCTTTTCTTAAATTCATATACCTTAGCAATTAGCTCTGAAGTGAACCATATTTGAACCATAATCACTCACTTCATTTCTTCATTTATTCCTTCATCTTTATAATACACAACATACTTGGATATACATAGAAAAATAAGATATGGTCCTTAATCTCTAACAACTTACAGTCCAATAGGGCAGATCCAATTTAATTTGCTTATATCTTTTAGTATTTCTATTATGTGGTGCTTCTGTCCCCTATTAGACTCATAGGATGTCAGAGCCAGAAGGGACCTTTTTGAGATCCCCTTCTTGTTCAGGGGTCAGCAAACTACCACCTTAGGACCAACCCATAGCTTCTTTTGGTGCTCCTTGAGCTAAGAATGGTCTTGACATGTTTAAATAGAAAAAAAACCATTAAAAAATATAAAAATTATTCTTAGCTTGTGGGTGGTACAAAAACAGGCAGCAGATAGGCTGTGGTAGAAACCCCCTGATTTCCACCCCATCCTCCTCATTTTGCAGATGGGGAACCTGGGGTCCAGGGGTAGTGATTTGTCCAAGCTCACAAATGAGCTGGGAGTGGAATGCAGGTCTCCTGATTCCTAGACCACTGTTTGTTTGTTTGTTTTTTTCCCTTTCCTTTCCTTTTTTTTTTCCCATAATTTATTTATTTTTGGTTTTCAACATTCACTTCCATAAGATTTTTGAGTTTTAAATATTCTCCCCCTCCTTCTCCCCTCCCTGCCAAGACAGCATGCAATCTGATACAGGCTCTACTTATACATTCATATTAAGCATATTTTCCCATTAGTCATGATGTAAAGAACAATTAGAATTAATGGGAGTAACCACAAGAATGAAGCAATAAAACAAAACAACAAAGGAAAAGGAGGGCAAATAGTATGTTCCTAGCTGCATTCAGACTCCATAGTTTTTTCTCTGGATGTGGATAGCATTTTCCGTCGTGATAAACCACTGATTTTTGACTTATACTGTCCTATTTCTCAGTTCCTTGAGGGTAGGAACATTGTCTTGAAATTCTCTTGTTTTGTAGAACTGAGAGGGCCCAGTATGAGACTTTAGTAAATTCTTACTTTCTTTTTTTTTCTCTTTTTTTGGTAAGGCAGTCGGGGTTATGTGACTTGCCCAGAGTCACACAGCTAGTAAGTGTTATGTGTTTGAGGTCATATTTGAACTCAGGTCCTTCTGACTCCAAGGCCGGTGTTCTATCTATTGCGCCACCTAGCTGCTCCTTAAATTCTTATTTTCTTGTGTCCAATAAAAAGGGGGTCCACAGGACGGGTAAGGAGGCCAGGAACTGGCTGTTGGACTAGTGGGAATTTTGTGCGGGGACCAGGTTGGAAGAGGAGGGAGAGATTCATCCCCACCTTGTGATTCTCAAACACTGTCCCCGCACTCCAGAGCCTGTCTTCCACTGTGACTCTGGAGCACTCGCCACCTCCTGCTGGGATCCACATTTCCTATGAGTCCCACTGTGGTGATTCTGAGATCAGGGAAGACCCAGGAGACAAAGGCCAGTGCAGCCACGTCCGAATTAACCAGACGGTGAGATGGGAGCAGGGATGGGAAATAGAACCATGTGGGAAGGGATAAAGGAGTGTTATCAGAAACGGAGGGCAGAGAAGAAGGAGCAAGAGGGACCCGGGACCTTGCAATGGGGGTCATTATTGAATTCCTAAACCCCTAGAGTGAGAGTGTGGGTATCTGTGTGTGTGTGTGTGTGTGTGTGTGTGTGTGTGTGTGTACACCCTGACCCCCATGCTTTCCCCTCCCACTGAATTTTCTGGGTTATGAGTGTGTATCTTGTATGTGCTGACCCTGTCTCCTCCCCCCAGGTGAATTTCTGGGTAAAGATCCGTGCTACCAGCTGCCTACCTGGGCCCCATCTCCTGAAACTCCGGGCTCTTGGATTTTCTGAGGAGCTGAGCATGGAGCTGCATACCTTGTGTGACTGTAACTGCAGTGACGTACAGTTACGAGCCCCCCACTGCAGCCACGGCCAAGGTGACCTCCAGTGTGGAGTCTGCAGGTGAGGGGTTCCTCCTCCCCTCTGGTGCTCCCTTACAGCAAGCCATCCCTACCCAGACTTTTCTCCCACACTCATTCAGGACCTCCTTTCTCACAGATAGCCCATGGCTTACTCTAAATTCTATCCCTTGATATTCTCAGCCTGACCTTCCATGCCCCACTTCTAGATCCTTCACATATTCTGAGACATGACCAGGGTCTTAGTTCACCATTATTCCTTTTTAGTAGGGGTTGGGGAATAAAACCATGAAGGGAAGGGGCTGGGGAGTATGGAGAGCAAAGGGGTTGGGCCTGAGGAAACACTGAGGGGAGAAGGGGAGAAAGTGGAGAAACCCTGAGGGGTGGGAAGTAGAGGCCGAGGCTGGGGAGAAGCAGGAGGGCACAGAAGAGAATCAGAGAATCTCAGAATTGTAAGAGAACTCGAACATGGCCTAGTTCAGTCTGTACTGGAATCCATCCACCCTATAGCATCCCTGACCAATGATGGAGGATTCACTACTTCCTAAGACATCCTATACTATTTTGGGAGTAGCTCTTGAATTATTATACTTTTTTTTTTCTTGGTGAGGCAGTCAGGGATAAGTGACTTGCCCAGGGTCACACAGCTAGTGAGTGTCAAGTGTCTGAGGTCACATTAGAACTCAGGTCCTCCTGACTTCAAGACCAGAGCTTTATCCGCTGCGCCATCTAGCTGCCCCCTTGAATTATTATAAAGTTCTTGAGTTTTAATTTGAGCCCAAATCGTTCTTTCTGTCATGTGTATCTGTTGCTCCTAACTCTGGCATCTGCTGTCAAGTATTGATCACGTGCCCCTTAAATCTTCTCCTCTCTAGGCTGATCGTCCCTGGTTCCTTTAATCAGTCCTTCTGTGGGCTGTAGCCCCCTTGACAATCTGGTTGTTCTCCAGTTTATGGAAGCCCTTCCCAAAAGATGGTGGCCATGTTGAGGCCAGTATGGTATTGGGTAGAGAGTCCTAGATTTGGAATCAGGGTATGAGTTTCAGCTCTAAGACTTCCTAGCAGTGCAAGTTGCTTAACTTCCTTGAACCTCTATTTTCTCATCTGTAAGCTTCAAGGGCTAGGTAAATATGCCAGATATGGTCTAACCAGGGAAGAGTAAACCTAGCCTGTTCTGTTCTTTTTTTTTGATGCAGCCTAGGATTTTATTAGCTTTTTTGGTGGCCTCATCATGCTCTTGATGAATATCTTGATGAATATTTTTCATGTTTTTCATATTGTCTAGCCCTGTCTCCTTTGTCCTATATTTGTGCAATTGATTTTTTGATCCCAAATGCAGGACTTTACATTAATACCTGTTGTATTCTATCTTAATAGAATAAGTCTGTTCTAGCCTGTTAACATATTTTTTGGAGCCTGACTCTTATCTTCTAACCTATTAGCTATTCATTCGAGCTTCCTGTCATCTGTAAACATTTTTAAAGTATTTTATTTTTCCCCAATTACATGTACAAACAATTTTTAACTATTTTTTTTTTAGGTGAGGCATTTGGGGTTAAGTGACTTGCCCAGGGTCACACAGCTAGTAAGTGTCAGGTGTCTGAGGTCAGATTTGAACTCAGGTCCTCCTGACTCCAAGGCTGGAGCTCTATCCATTGTGCCACCTAGCTGCCCTTTAACATTTGTTTTGTTTTGTTTTTTTAAATTTTGAGTTCTAAATTCTCTTCCTTCCCTCCCTCTCTCATTGAGAAGGCGAAGGCAAGCAATTTGATATAGGTTATACATGTGCAGTCATGCAAATCATACTTTCATGTCAGTCATGTTGTGAAAGAAAACACAGAATTTGGTTATAATGTTCCTGGAAGTTTTCATTTTGAGATGTCTTTCAGGAAGTGATTGGTGGATTCTTTTAATTTCTATTTTACTCTCTGGTTCTAGAATATCAGGGAATTTTCCTTGATAATTTCTTGAAAGATGATGTCTAAGCTCTTTTTTTTTGATCATAGTTTTCAGGTTAATTCTGAAATTATTTCTCCTGGACCTATTTTCCAGGTCAGTTGTTTTTTCCAATGAGATATTTCACATTTTCTTCTTTTTTTTTTTCATTCTTTTGATTTTGTTTTATTGTTTCTTTCTCTTTTTTTAAGTTTTTTATTTGGGGGGGAGTGAGGCAATGGGGTGAAGTGACTTGCCCAGGGTTACACAGCTAGTAAGTGTCAAGTGTCTGAGGCAGGATTTGAACTCAGGTCCTCCTGACTCTAAGGCCAGAGCTCTATCTACTATGCCACCTAGCTGCCCCTTAGTTCTTTTCTTCATTGATTCTTTTTTTTTTTTATATCTTTTTCCCATTTGGCCAATTCTCTTTTCATGGCATTCTTCTCTTCATTGGACTTTTGTACCTCTTTTACCATTTGGCCTATTCTGTTTTTTTTAAGACATTATTTTCTTCAGTATTTTTTTGTGCCTCCTTTACCAAGCTGTTGACTTTTTCCCCATGATTTTCTTCTATTGCTCTCATTTCTCTTCCCAATTTTTCCTCTACCTGTCTTGATTTTTAAAATCTTTTTTGAGTGCTTTCATGGCCTGAGACCAATTCATGTTTTTCTTTGAAGCTTTGGATGTAGCAGTTTTGACTTTGTTGTCTTCTTCTGAGTTTGTGTTTTGATCTTCCCTGTCGCCATGGTAACTTTTCTCTAGTCAGGATCTTTTTCTGCTGTTTGGTTATTTTTCTGTCCTATTACTTGACTTTTAACTCTATGCTAAAGTGGGGCTCTGCTTCTGGAATGGAGGAGGCACTGTTGCAAGCTTCAGTTTTTTTTGTGCAGCTGTTTTCAGAGATAATTCTGGGGACCTATAAGTTTTCGGTTTTTCTAAGGTATCATACTACCTTATAAGGTTTAAGCATATAAGCATAGAAGGTATAAGGTAGCTTGGTATGTGAGTATATTAACCACTCTTGCTGCCTGTGTTCTGCTCTGTGAGCAACCCGGAGCACTCTTTTCTGCCTTGGAACTGTGACTAGGGTTTCAGCTCCCCTGTGACTATACGCTAGTGCTCCTCCTTACCCTGGGACTGAGATCCAGGAACTGTGACCCAGGGCAGTGCAACAGAGTCCTGCTCCTGGTGTCAACAAAGGGACCCCTGTCGTCTCTTTCTTACCAGCTGTCTGACCCCTCCCCCTTTACCATTTGTGGGCTCAACAGTCTGGAAACCTCCACGGCTGCCCCTAATTTAGTCACCCCCAAAGCCTATTGTTGGGTTGCTAGGCCAGAGCCTACACTGGGCTGTAATATACTTTCTTTCTTTTTTTTTTTTTTGGTGAGGCAGTTGGGGTTAAGTGACTTGCCCAGGGCCACACAGCTAGTAAGTGTGAAGTGTCTGAGGCTGGATTTGAACTCAGGTCCTCCTGACTTCAGGGCCGGTGCTCTATCCACTGCGCCACCTAGCCGTCCCTGACCTTAGCATTTCCTAGCTATGTGGTCCTGAGCAAGCCACTTCACCTTTGCCTGCCTCAGTTTCCCCAACTACTAAATAGGTTTAATAATAACACTTAACCCCCAGGCTTGTATGAGGATTAAGTGTGATAGCATTTGTAAAGAGTATTTAGCAAGTGCCTGGCACCTAGTAGGTGCTATATGTAAATGTTTATTCCCTTCCCTTTTCCTTTCCCCTTCCCTCTCTTTCACCCTTCAATGCTAAATCTTGTTGACTTTTGTACAATTTTATTTCTGCAAGATCTCTTGAATTCACTCACTCAGGTAGTAACTTCCCAAGTCCAGGCCCTCTTCATTTCTTACCTGAACAACCAGAATAATCACCTCATTCTCTCGGCCTCTAGTCTTCCATATCTCTCTCAGGCTCCTCTTCCGTACAGCTGCTTGGAAATCTTCCCAGGTCCCAAGTTAGACCTGGGCCATCTTCCTACTCAAAAGCTTTTAGCAGCTCTCCTATTGCTTCTTTTCTTTTTTCTCTTTTTTAGGCAATGGAGTTAAGTGACTTGCCCAAGGTCACACAGCTAGTAAGTGTTAAGTGTCTGAGGCTGGATTTGAACTCAGGTCCTCCTGACTCCAGGGCTGGTACTCTATGCATTGCGCCACCTAGCTGCCCCCTTCTCCTATTGTTTCTAGGATAAAATAACCTCCTTAGCTCATCAGCCATTTGAGATCTTCCGTAATCTGGCTCCCACTTGTCCTTCCAGCCCTCTAAACTGGACACTCAGCTCTTTCCTAGAACACAATACTTTGGGCGTTTGCATAAACTATTCCTGGTTTCTCTTCTTTCCTCAGAACATTTGTCTTTCTTTAAGGTTCAAGTCAGGTGCTATCTATTTTGTGAACCCTCCCTTGGTCTCTCCCTTCCTCATAGACATTAGACATCTGGAAATAGGTATGTGGGTCAATAGTGGCTAATGCCTTTTTGGTTGCTCTTTTGGGGGGTAATAATATTATCAGAAATTTATTTTATTTTATTTTTTGATCTCCCCCTCTTAGAAGTATTTTGAAAATGGATCCCTGAGCCCTTTCATTATTGTGTTGTCTCCTGCACACAGAAGTAAGGGCTTTTCTCGACATCGTCTTCCTTAGTGCTATCCCATTTCTTCTTATACAGCACAAGCGCTAGGGTATTACGAGTTCAAATGCGGTGGTTCCACTATGAGGACAGATAACTATAGAAAAATCAGGAAATCTGTTCTGTTTTGCATCTATTTGTTGTCCTACTTCTTGTTTTACTTATAAATGCTCTTCGCTGGTTTGGCATAGTTGGGTTTCATGCCAAGCTTTCTGGAGGTTTGCCCTCTTTTTTTTTTCCTGTTTCATGAATTAATAGGCTGTTCAGAATCTCCCATGATCTTCTATAATGTTTTTGCAAATGTACCCTAAAACACTGTTACTTTGGCAACACATTTTTCTTCACTTGATAAGTTGATGCAGTGTTAGCTGAAGGAGTTGACTTTCTGGCACTTTGGGCAGGCTCACTGACTGTGACTATTAAACTTCTCTAATAGTTGGTTTTTGTTGTGTGTTTTGTTTGTTTGTTTGTTTTTTGCTTTTAGGCAATTGGGGTTAAGTGACTTGCCCAGGGTCCACACAGCTAGTAAGTGTTAAGTGTTTGTCTGAGGCTGGATTTGAACTTAGGTCCTCCTGACTTCAGGGCCAGTGCTCTATCCACCTAGCTGCCCTTAATCATTTGTTTTTAAATAGACCGGGTTGGAAGCTGCTGTAATTGCTTGGAATGATTTATCATAATTCTCTCCTCTAATTTGGTGTTGTTTTTGGCATTTGTTTTCATCAAACAACTAATTTTGATATTTCAATAGTCAGTCATGCACCTCCCCATTCTTTCTCTCTCTCTTTTTTTTTTTTTTGGCTAGGCAATCAGGGTTAAGTGACTTGCCCAGGGTCACACAGCTAATAAGTGTCAAGTGTCTGAGGCTGGATTTGAACTCAAGTCCTCCTGACTCCAAGGCTGGAGCTTTGTCCACTGTGCCACTTAGCTGCCCTTCCTCATTCTCTTCTTGAATAAATTGTTCATGATATGTAGGTCTGGGGTTTCTAAATCATCTACAAGCCTTTGGTCTTTTTTATGACTAAATCCCAAACCATAATTTCTGCCGTGCTTTTTGCCATCATCCCCTGCTGTCCGCCTTTGCACTGAATCACCAAATATCAACGTGGTATTGACTTAGTTTGGAGGCTGTCAGAGTTTTTGTAGAATTTTCTTATTCTTCATCTATTACAGCAGATGTTGGCATATAATTTGCAATTATCTTCTAGACAGTCTGTTTGTTCATACTCATCATAGTCCCTGAGAGGTTAGAGAATTGAAAATCCTATGACATCGTCTTCTCCTTCAGCACACTAAAAAACCAATTCTAGTAACTCCTTTATTTGCCTTTTCAACAAGAATCGGTGAGGTATTCTTTCATCGAGCTGCAAATTCCTTTGTCTTCTGGTTTTATTTATGAAAAGTGAGAACGTCATTGGATCAAACCATTAGTTAGGTGGGGCAGTGGATCGAGTATTGGGTCTGGAGGAAGATCTGAGTTCAAATCAGACCTCAGACACGTACTAGCTCTGGGACCCTGGGCAAAGCATTTTACTGCAGTTTCCTCAGCTATAAAAATGGGGGAAATAATAGCATTTACCTCCTAGGATTATTGTGAGGATCAAGTGAGATGGTATTTGTAAAAAGCACTTGCCTGGTACACAGTAGGCACTTAATAAATGCTTATTTCATTCCAACTGCTGGTCATTGGACAAAATAGCACTTTTAGAATGCCAACAATTAAGGTAATGTTTATAGATGGTCTAAAAAACAATGTGATTCTTAGGACCTTCTGGCCTGCCTAGTACAGCACCTGGTACATAGTAGGTACTTAATAAATGTTTGTTGATTGATTGGTAAGAAATAATCAAGTTCACTGTGGGAAGGGGCTGCACAGGACTTCGAGCCAGTCTAAATTTTTTTTTTACCTATTTTGTGGGTGACCATAGCCAAATAATTCATAATCTACTGGTCCAACCTGTTGGCAATGAATCTCTGAATTAGATTAGATTGATGAAACCTGCCAAATTGTGCAGTCTTGAGAACCCAAGGTCACTTTCACATCATAATAAATGATTACAGTAAGATTTTTGTCTACATGTATGTTTTAAAAACTTAAGTTGGCCCCTGAGTACCTTTCCTATGCATCCACATCAATCTCTTTAAACAGTGTCTCCTTTTCTTCTTTATTGGAATTTTTCATTTTTCTAATATTCAGAATTTTGTTCTTGGGAGCTTATTTACCCTTTAGAATTTTAAGCCTTAAGATGCAACCTATCTTTTATCTTGACTTTTTGAAATCTGTTTTCCACAACTCAAAAGCAGACATCAGGCTTTGCCCAGCTTACTTCTTCTTGTCTTTCGTAAATTTTAAGATGTAATAGTCACCTCCTCCCAAGGTTTTTATAATGTCTAATTCAATAATCAGTTCCTCCTTATTGATCAAAATCAGGCCACAAAGAACAATTCCCCTTGTCACTTCTTCCACCTTTGAAGAGTTAAGTTATAACTAAGTCAAATCAAGAATTAATTAGTTACTCTTCTTTTGTTAGAGAGAGAGAGAGAGAGAGAGAGAGAGAGAGAGAGAGAGAGAGAGAGAGAGAGAGAGAGAGAGAGAGAGAGAGAGAGAGCTCTAGCAGATGATTCTGGATAGCCAGAAGATTCCCATCACTATTTTTTCATGCCTTTGTGCCAGGCTTGTGACCCATTTCCCAAACTCCTCATCTATTTCCTCCTTCTGGCCAGTTGGTCTGTAGTTTACTTGCATAACTTTCTCACTATCTTTCCATTGATCAAATTTCCCCTCTAGTTTGTAGATTTACTCACAAGGGTATATCTTGTAAATACTCTACTGCTGCTTTTAATATATTTTTTCAGTTGAATAAAATATACTTTTCTAGAGCCATATTTCTAGTTCTGAGTTCCATATCACCAAAGCTCAGTGATACCCATAGAATTGAATTTACCTTATCATGCTAATATCTAATTCATTTTGAATATTATCCATACCTTATGTAGAAATCGGAGACTATAGGTTTTATTACTAGACCTTTTCCATGATACACTGCTGATAATCTTACCATGTTATGCCTCTGGCACCTGGACTGGCAGATCTATGTGGTCAGTTCCCTCCCTCTCCCACTTTTACTTTAAATCTCCCTTGATCAGAGAGGAGCAGAAGGGAAGAAGAGCAGGGACTGGAAGATGCTGAGGGAGAGCAGTATGGGTTAAGGTGCACAGAGGATGGGCAGTCCCTTCATAAAATATTTTTCTCCCTACTTCTCTTCCCCTGTCGCCCCATCCCCCTTCACAGCTGTGCTCCTGGTCGCGTTGGCCGACTCTGTGAATGTTCAGAGGTAGAGCTGTCATCGCCAGATTTGGAATCTGGATGCCGGGCGCCCAATGGCACGGGGCCCCTTTGCAGCGGGAAGGGTCAGTGCCAATGTGGACGGTGCAGCTGCAGCGGGCAGAGCTCAGGGGATCTCTGCGAGTGTGATAACGCCAGCTGTAAGAGGCATGAAGGCATCCTCTGTGCAGGTACCTGGGAGGGCTTTAAGGAGGTGAATACTGTCTCTAGGAGGGTGCAGACACTGGGTTAGGATGAATACCCAGGGGAGTCAGATGATCTCCACAGCAGGGCACTTGCCTCTGAGGAGAGAGAAGGCTCAATTTCTGCCCCTTTCCTTTTCTCCTGTCTCATTGCAGGCTTTGGCCAATGTCATTGTGGAGTCTGTCATTGTGATGCCAACCACACAGGCCAAGCTTGTGAATGCAGCAAGGACACGAGCAAGTGTATCACCCCGGATGGGTTCTGTAACGGACATGGCTTTTGCCGCTGTAACCAGTGCCAGTGCCTGGAGGGTTACTATGGTGCCCTGTGTGATCAGTGCCCGGGCTGCAAGACACCATGTGAGAAGCACAGGTGAAGTGGGGGTGCTAGGGTTTGGGGACACCGGGAACTCCAAGGAGTTGGGACCCAAGCAATACAAGGGGATGCCCAAGGCATTGCATTAGGTGCCTTTTGCAGAGTAGGCACTTAGTAAGTGTATTGCATTGAATGGGTGGGTTTGGGGAGGAAGGGTTATTGGGGAGTATCAGTGAATGATTCTTGGCATTGGTGGGACAGGGATTGTGCTGAATGTGGTGCCTTCAAGACAGGGCCACTGGCCAGCAACTGTAGTCTGGCCTGTGCCCATGCCAATGTAACAGTGAGTCTGATGCCTCCGCTGGATGATGGTTGGTGCAAAGAGAGAACTGTAGACAATCAGCTGCTTTTCTTTCTGGTGGAGAATGAAGCTGAGGGCAGGGTTGTGCTGAGAGTGAGACCTCGAGAGAGTGAGTATCAGTGGGACTGCTGTGGGGATAGAAGTAGGGGGACTTGGGGACATGGTGAAGGCTGTGGTGGGGGGCAGAGGGACCTTTCGGGGAGGGGTGGTGAATCTCAGATGTGTTACATAACAGGGTTTAGTCCCGTGGGCAGAGCTAAGGGTCTGCTTCTGGGTATAGGAGGTACCCATGGGCACAGGTTGGGGAGGCAGGGTCCTCCTAGGAAGGTTCTAGGCCTCCTTTAGTAACCATCCTTCCACTTTTCAGGAGGATCAGATCGCACCCAGGCCATTGTGCTGGGTTGTACAGGGGGTATTGTGGTAGTAGGGCTGGTGCTCATCCTGGCCTATCGACTCACCGTCGAAATCTATGACCGGAGAGAGTACAGTCGCTTTGAAAAGGAAAGGAAGCAACTCAACTGGAACCTGGTGAGGAGCCACACCTGCTCTCCCTCACACCCTTTTCACATTTCTGCCCCCAGACTCTCTCCTCTTCTTTGTATCACTTGAGGACACCTTCACAGCCAACCTTACCTGCTACCTTGCTGCTTCATATTTCTCAACTCCAGCTGCTTACCTAGAGCATCCTTTTGCTGGCTCCATTCCGTTCCCTATCCCATAGTTCCTTAATCTTGTAACTTTTCTTTTGCCTTGTCCTGGTCCTGTCCCTCTCCACTCCAATTTGTCTTCTGTTGGCATCGAAGGTAAAGCCTGTTTCAAGGGAATCTTATGACTAGAGAAAACGAATGAAGGCAGAATCAGCCTCCCTTACCCACTTCTGACACCCTCATCCCACTGCTGTCTTCTCATTTTCCCCTAGGATGACAACCCCCTCTATAGGAGTGCCGTTACCACCACCATCAATCCTCGATTCCGGGAGAATGATGAAAGCCCACAGTAAGCAGCTACTCACAGGCTGGATTCTGCCCTTTCACACAATAGCAAAAGGGCCCTTCTCTGAAAGGCTGAGGGATACCCTAGTCAAAGAACCCCCTAACACCACATCCATTTGGCAATTTCCCACCCAACAAATTATTGCTTAAAAAAAAGTGCAGGATAGAAACTGTCCTTCACCCCACAAGGGCCAGAACTCTTCCTAACCCCATAACAGAGTTGTACCCAAGGCTAAAGCTACAGTGGTTGATGCCACCAGAGGATTAATAGCCCAACTGCACAAGTGTTTTGTTTTTGCCTGGTTCTGCAAAGTGTAGATTTCTTCCACCTGGTTGTTACACTCAGGGCCTTTGGAGAGCACTTCCTTAGAGATCTTCTACCCCTACTCAGGTCCACCATCTCTACCCTATTGCCATCCCCTGCTTTTCCCCACTGTTCCTCTATAGCAAAGGGCAGCACCATGAACCAAATGATATTACCTTTAAATCCACACATAAGGGAGGCAATGATAAGGCAAAAAAAGGTGGGGAGGGGACAGCTAGGTGGCCCAGTGGATACAGCACCAGCCTTGGAGTGTGGCAGACCAGAGTTCAAATGTGGCCTCAGACACATAACACTTACTAGCTGTGTGACTCTGGGCTAGTCACATAACCCCAATTGCCTTATCAAAAAAAAAGAAAAAAGTTAGGATGCCAAATTTTCCTACTCCAACTTGTGGTGATAAAAGCAACCTGAAATGGACCCTTCCCCAGGAAAGGCAGACACTGTAGAAAACCCCCATTTTATTTAAATATTCTAAATATGTCACAAAGGAACATACACTGCACTTTGAATGGTAAAAAGATACAAGTTTATAACATCTTATAAAAACTACCATTTAAAATTTCTTGTCCATCTGTTACTCCCTTCCCACCCCCCAATAGCAAAATAAGTGTATTAAAAAAAAGGGGGGGAGGGTGAGAGGGTGAAGAGGATGGTGAAAATAAAAGCTCCAAGGCCTGTGTAGGATGGTGGGAAGAGGGAGTTGGGAATAGGGGGCCAGGGAGACTACTTCCCCTCTGGCCACCAGGCCAAGGGGCATAATCAGTAGCTAAACAGCCGCTGTGGGCTGGTGAAGGGGTCTCTATGACCCTCAGACGTTAGGGTGGACAAAAAAGGAAGGGTAGGGGCTGGAGATATAGGAATTTGGGTCAATGCTACATTGATGTAGCAACTCCCCTTTAAACTGGCTCATCTCCCCTTCCTCCCAGCTGTAGTATCTGCAGCACAGAGGAGGGTGGTGAGGATTCAATCCAGGAGTCCTTGTAATCTTCTGTGGTTTCTTCCATTAGGTGAGGCTCCTAGGCCTGGGTGGGTAGGTGTGCAGCACCCCTCCTTCTATCTACCCACCCCTTCCTCTAAAGTCTTAGCACCCATTGCAACAGAATTAGCCACAGGCTTCCCCCTACGCCAGTTGATGGCTGTGAGCTGTCCTGGCCTGGTCCCTTATTATACACTCATTAGCTCCCTCCCATTCCTTCGGTTGCTCTGGCAAAAGCTGAAGAAGCAGTCTTAGAACACATCAGCACATAACCCATTCACATTTCCCACTCTTTTCCCCACCCCCATAAAAAACCTGATTCCCCCCAAAATTAGCCTTGAAAGGCGAGGGGATGGGGTGGGAAGAAGCCTTCCCAGTTTTTAAGAGCTGTTTGTGGTTCATCTTTCTAAATCCATCCTTGCTTCTCATAAGACTCCTCACTGTTGACATTTAAGGAAACCCTTTAGAGTCCGGTAAACCCGGCTCCCCTCCCCTCCCCTCCCCGACACCCAGGAAGCTGGCTGACATTCGGTAAGACTCCCCCTCCCAGTGATCATTCTCTACATAGGGGAGGGGGAATGCAGAGAATTCAGGCCAGGTGAAATGGATGTGAAATTAAAACTGGGAGGACTGAGCAAAGTCTCACATGCTGCCACTGCAGAATCTGAAAGCCAAGGATCTCTTTCTGACTTCACTGAATACTCTCCCTTCAGAGGAGGATTCCTTCCTTCTCTGGCCCCCCATTGCCCATCTACACAGAGTAGCCATGTTTGCTGCCAGACTCCCTGCTCCCCAAGTTTAAGGACTAAAGGGAACACCAACTCTTCCAGCCCTGCTCTCATCTAGTCCCACCTCCTACTATCCTACCCTACTCACAAGACACAGGTAACTGATCCAACTTGCCCAGACTAAGATAGGAGATAGGGATAGATACTGCCGCACTTCCCAAAGAGATCCCTTACACCTTTCGCCTTAAGGGAAGGAGTGATTTCATTCCAAATGACCATTGTTCAAGAATCCCTAGCTCTCAGCTTAGGCCAGAAACACCAGAACCCTCTGTTTGTTAAATAACAAAATGCTCAATATAAAAATCCCCTGAAATCACCGAGATGCTACTCAGTTTCCCAAGAACCCTTTGGGTTTGGGAGAGAGGAGGTGCTTGGCTCAATCTGCCATTACTGTATATTCCAAAACATCCACACAGGTGTTGTGCAAACACATAAACACTTGTAATCGATCAAACTCTGGGGCATGGAACAAGTGGACATAGGGATTAGAGTACTGATTAAAATAAAGTCCACATTAGCTCCACTAGTCATTACAAGCAGTCCCCCCGCCCCTCCCACCCCATTCTGGGCTGTGGGGGGCCATTAGGAAGAGACAAAATCCTCTTATTCTTTCCTTATGAGGAAGCAACCATCTTCATCTCAATACAGTGATAGGACTTGGGTGGGTAGGTACAGGGGAAATACACTCCCCCTCCCCACTTCAGGAATGAGATAAAAGGCAGACTCCAGTTTCATTTACTTCTTCAGCAGGTTGTGACCCAACTCAAGTCTGATCTTGACTCAGAGCAGCTAGCTGAACTCCTAAGAGGGCACAGTGCTGATCCACTTTTTGGCACCCAGAACTTCCAACCCACCCACTTTTATTTGAACTCCAGTGGCAATGGGGGAAGGCAATCAGAAAATCAGGCTACATGGAAGCCACCCTCAAGATTTAGGATCCTTAAAAAAGGGGGGGGGTAATCCCCAGGCCTCCTTCCATAGCTTCCTCCAAAAGGCACTTGAGCCAGCCCCATCAAGTGTTTGTGTCACCCATATTGCTTTAACACACATGGGCACAACTCTTACTACTCCACCGGGGGAAAGGAGATACCTATCCACTCTTGCGTGTGTCCAACTGCCCCTGCCTCCCAGGGACCTCTTTCCATAGCCCACAGTAAGCTCAGCTGCCAGCCATCTCTGCTCCCCACCTGCCTCAGAGAAGGTGGTGAGGTACAGGGCATGTAAATGCTGAAGGCAAAATGCAACCAGGGTGCCATCTGTGGGGGATGATCAGGACAATCACAGTCCCTGCTTTGCCCTGGGGTCCCATGCCTTCACGTTATCTATGTCCACAGTTCATCTGGTAAAATCACTTTTGGATTAAATACATATGCATATATATGCACACACATATGCATATATACGTATACACACAAACACACACATATATGTACATATATACGTATATGTATACATATACATATACACACATTCACACACACCCCTTCCCAGTTTCCACTCCCATATGGAGTTCATGGCTGTGTGATCCGCTGTTCTGTCTTGGTCCTGTATCTTGAGTCCCTTTCCATGGCTTAATCAAGGGTTCAGAGATTGGTCAACCCTCCCAGGAATTGCTGGAAAAACCCTCCAGCCACCAAAATCTCAGATTATTTACAGGGCTGTGGCTCTGGTGCCCTGTCCCCTGATGTAGGTTAGGTCTCTGACTCTCCTGGTCCCCTCCTCCATGAAGAGAAGAAAGAAGAGGCATGTGGAAGTGTGGGAGGTGGTGGCACCATCAGAACCAGAGGGGGCAGCATCTTCAGCAAGCTCTTCTGATCCTTCCCACCACCCTGGGCCCCATGCCTAGAGGGAAAATTGCCCATCAAGGGTTTTGGAGTGACACCCTTGGCACATCCGTTTGTGTCTGAGCAAACGATCTGTCCGGGAAAAGCTCTGAGAAGAGAAAAAGGAGAGGGTAAACTCATAAGAAGAAAACTGAAGAACCAGTTAGCTGGGCCCAATCTTTTCCAGACCCAACCACCTTCCATTACTCCATCCTGAACTGACCCCAAACCCAATATCTGTGTTTTGATGATATTGCACTTGTTCACATGTTGTCTAAGTGTGGGGTTCTAAACCTCCCATCACACTGGGAAATGCTTGATAGCACGTGCTCCTACTCCTTTTTTTTTTCTTCCAATATCATTTCAAGGCTCTGCATATAGGGACATAGCAGTGAAATTGACTTCTCCCCAGAAACATCTCACATGAGACTAGGGAAGAGGACAGTGAGTACCATTACAACAAACACTGTTTCAGTGTGACACTGCTCGGGACTAGATATGAGTGGATAGTGCTAATGTCCTCTTGCATAAGAAGACTAATTCTAAAAAGACCTAATTTAGGTCACCCTGTGATGCTAACCCATTATAGTAGAGGGAAATGTCAGGCTTGTGGAATCTCGTTTCTTACAGCAAGCAAGGAACTCTGTGTTGACCTCAACCTGAGGAAGGGTAGTATACCCCATATGGGGTCACAACCTGCAGTTTAAGAAGCACTGAAGGGGTTGTGAGTGGAAAAAGTTTAAGAAGCCCTGGTGTATATTGACGGTAAAGAGGAGTGTGTGTTTATGGTGAATGTGGAGGGACTGGGGTGGTACCTGCTGACATCGTTCACACTGGTAGGGTTTCTCTCCACTGTGCACACGTTTATGGCGCTCCAAATGGTACTTCTGAATGAACCGCATATCACAAACATCACATTCAAATGGTTTCTCCCCTGGACATGGTAGAGAAAAGATGAACGAGGAAAAGTCAGTATGACAGGGACCTTGTGTGTTAGTGATTATTTTCTCTCCTGACATAAACAGAAGGCTTACCTGTGTGAATGAGGATATGCCTCTTGAGGTGATAACTACTTCTAAAGGCTCCAAAACACTGCTCACAAATAAAGTTTTTTTGGCTCTTCACTTGAAAAGAGCCATTCTGCTCCACAACCACCATCTGGGGATGACAATCAGGCATGTTACCTTATGGGGAGCCCCCAATGTCTGCCTATTCCTAGAAAACCCTATTCTACTGTAGCATCTCCAGTAGTTGCTCAACTTTAATTTCTTTCTGCTTATACTAAAGAGAGTCTTTTTTCTCCATTACTGGGGTCAGGTCAATCCAAGTTTGGAAATGAGAGTAAAATGGTTTATCTTGGCAAATCTGGAACATGAGAGATGATCTGAGAGGAGTCAAGTCTACACCTTTCCTAAAGAATCCCACATCTACAATCTCCTCCTCCCTGTCTTATTAACCCAGGTCAGAAACCAAATAATAATAGCAATAACAAGAGCAATCCATATAGTTTAAGGAACAATTTGAAAAAAGGCTTTTATATTCATTATCTGATATTATCCTAACCTTAATAATATTTACATTCTGCTTTAAGGTTCACAGAATACTTATCCTCACAGCAACCTGTGAGGTATGTTAAGTATTTTTTTTTGGGGGGGGGATGGGGGTATGGACCTTGGTAAAGGGAACTCTTCGGTCTACAATCACCTCATTCCTACGCAGACTGGCAACTCTGCTGTGATTAATAGTGCAGGCATCACTGCCTCCACTTTACTGATTAGGAAACAAGGCAGGAGAGCTTCACTGTGGTGAAGGAGTCAGGCCTCTAACCTAGGCTTTCTGCCTACAGGTCCAGTGTTCTTTCCACTCCACTATGCTCCCCATACTCAGTTACCCCCATTTTACATAAGAAGAAATTAGGACTCAGAGGGGTGAAGTAGCTTGGTCCAAGAAGTCCATCAATACATAGCAGCGTGGGGACTTGAAACCAGCTCTTACAAGTCTCACCTCGCTTGCCTACTGGTTTTGAGGTGATCTAGAACTCGAGGACAATCATCCTAGCAGAGCAGAGAGGTAAAGGGGATCCCTCAACCCCAAGTATGCCTGCCCCATTACCTGCCTTTTTAACTTTTTTTGGTGGAGGAGCTTCAGCTGTGGAGCTGTCATCTTTTCGGTTTCTCGACTTTTCTCCATCTTTTCGGTGACCCTTTTAAACACAAGATCATATTTAAAGCTTTGGTCTACTCCACAGACATGAAAATGGGTAAATAGACAGGATAAGAAAAGAGGTTCTCACTATTTTCAGACACACGGACTCCTCCCTCTTCCCAATCCCAACGATCAGAGAGTGGGGCCTCAGTGGGAACCTCTGTTCTTATCTTCTCACAGCTGCTCAGGTTGTGGCATCCAAAGGTTAGAGGCAGGGAAAGACCCTCCCTCAGTTGTAAAAAAAAAATGCCCATTTACCCCACCCCAGCAAGATCAATGGGAACTGGTGGCACCGAGAAAAGGAAGGGACATCTCCCTAGCTGGCTGAACACAAGCCCAGAGTTTTCTACGGAAAACCCAGGTCGCTCCACTCGCAGCGCTGTACCTGGCCTGAGCACCTCAGCACCTCTGGGTTGCCCGTGCGCTCCCCGTTCTCTGCCTGTTTGCTGGCAATCTGGCTCAGCATCATCTTCTTGCTGGCTGCCGTGGGGACCAAACTCACACCTGCAAGGCCCTCACAGGCTAGGAGACTCGCCTAGATTGGGAGAAGAGAGGTCAGATGACTTGACAGGTTCAACTAATCTTGGTGACGTTCCCTCACCCACACAACTGGTCCCCTGCTCTGCACAAGCCAACCTCTATTCCAGAATGGCCTTCCTCTTTCCCAACATCACCAAATACTATCTTTGCTTTCTTTTAAGCACAGCCATAAAGTTTTTTGTGTTTTTTCACTATTCGGGCACATAAGGAGCTTTTATTAAGATGCTTATTGATTGATCCTGACTGATCCTACCAGGAACCAGTCATTCTTTCACTTAAAATAAAACAGCCAGGTGGCAGAGTTGATAAGGCTTTGGACCTGGAGTCAGAAAGAGTCCAAATCTGGATTCAGACACTTACTAGTTGTGTTGACTCTGTGAAAGTCACGTAACCTCTGTTTGCCTCAGTTTGCTCATCTGTAAAATGGGTATGATAAGACTAGGCCACAGCTTCCAGGGTTGTTGTGAAGATCAAACGACATAATTGTAAAGTGCTCAGCATACTGCCTAGCACTAGCAAGAGCTATATCAATGTAAGCTATTGTTATCATTATTCTCATCACATAAGAAGAAACTAAGGAGAACAATGGAGGTTGGGCATACAGAATCCCGGGCAGCGACTTGTTATTTGCCAGAGGTTGGTTTGGTTTAGTCATGGGCTTGCCCTGTTCAGAGTAGTCTTGAGAGATTCTGCTCAGTCCTTGGGTCATCTGCAGTCTCAAAGATGTGGTGAGTAGGGCCAAAGTTCAGATTCCAGCCGAAATGGAAGGGGAAAGGATTATGGGGGAAGAGAAAACAAGGGATGAAAATTCTGCCCCATCACTCTCAGAAGAGACCTGGTGTCCTGAGAACCTTCAGATCAGCAATAACTTCGCACTGCTTTATTCCAGAATGTATTAAGGTTCGCAAAGCACTTTCGTCACCAGACTGTGAGGTCAACAGTGACAGTATCGCTCCTTCCATCTGTCACATGAAAACAGTGAGGCTCTGGGAAGTTAGATCACTTTCCTACGGTCTCCTCACCCCAACTTCTGTGTTCTTGTTTCTACTCTTTCATTCTAACTCAAGGAAGAGGACAGACCTTGACCAAGTTACTTACAGGTATCTAAACCTTTCTGTTCAATGATGGGGTTAGAATAGACAATCTCCAAAGGTCTCTTCTGATCATTTGTAACTATATTCAGTTTGAACCCATCAACAAGTTATTTATTATCTGCTATGAGATTATTAGGAAGGAAAGGAACAGCCATATCTATGGCACCTTTTTTTTTTTTTTTTGGGTGAGGTAATTGGGGTTAAGTGACTTGCTCAGGGTCACACAGCTAGTAAGTGTCAAGTGTCTGAGGCCACATTTGAACTCAGGTCCTCCTGACTCCAAGGCCAGAGATCTACCCACTGCACCACCTAGCCGCCCCTTATGGCACCTTTTATATGCCATTTGATCCTCACCACAAGCCTGGGAGGTAGGGGCTGTTCATTCCCATTTTGCGTTTGAGGAAACTGAGGCAAACAGAGGTGAAATGACTTTCCCAGAGGTCACACAGCTAATATGTGTATGAGTCTAGATTTGAACTCAGGTCGTCCTGACTCCAAGACCAGTGCTCTATCCACTGTGCCACCTCTGCTGATAGGTTTGTCGGAACCATCATCTTTTGCTATTTTAATATCATCTCATGGGATCCAAGGCACTTCCCTGCTCTGTCTGGTCTATATTACTAATTTCTTCACTAGAGGAAACTTCTTTCTGCTAAGCAGTAATTGACTGCAACTTATCTTTCTCCCATTTTTTTCAGGCTCTGAGTAATCTCAGTGGGATAAGTACTCTCTCTACTGATGCATCTCAACCTAAGATGATTTTTCAGAATTGCTCTGGCCAGAAAAATTCATTACCTTGCAACCTGATGATAAGCTTCTCTGAACTGATATAACAGATGTATCATCTATAATTCATCACCAGACCTAAACTTGAAGCCTTTTCTGTTCAGTAAAACCTACTAAAGTTTGTGCCTAGCTCAGCCTTCGAGAAAGAAGGGTGACATCATATCCAAACCAAAATGAGATTCTGGAGGGGACCTTACCGGAGCTACAGATTCAGTATGTGTATATGTACGTGTCTATATCTCTACGTGTGTGTGTGCACATGTGCTTTTTCTGGACAACCACTCATTTTTCCCTTTCAACTGAGAGCTCCCCTAGGTTAGGATAATTAACAGTGGGGATCTGAAGGCTGGCTATATGATAATTGTACTTGACTGAATATCATTCATAAAGGCAGACATCCAAATATAATTTTTCACAACACATTACCTTTATCACTCTCCAAATTAGGGGACTAAAAGTCATATGGTCTCTCAGCTATAATGTGCTGCTGAAGCAAGTTCCAACCTCTTCTCTTCCACTCTAATCTCCAAAAATGGATTGGTTAAGTCCACCTAGCCAATAATGATAGCTAGTATTTACACAGTATTTTAAGGTTTGCAAAGTGCTTTACAAATATCTCATTTTATCCTTACAAGCATCCTGAGAGGTAGATGCTATTATCCTCACCTCCATTTTATAGAAAAATAAATCAAGGCAGGCAGAGGTCAAGTGATTTGTCTAGGATCACACAGCTAGTTTCTGTGACTGGATCTGAACTCACGTCTTCTTGACTCCATGTAAGTTCAGTGCTCTATCCACTGTGCCACCTACCTAAAATAAATGGCTTATTGGGACACTTTAAGTATCTCTCTTTTGAGGACTGAAAGCTATTGGGAACCCTTAAAGTCATTCTAGTAGGGGAAACTTAATAAATGGGACATGCAGTGTAAGAAACAGAAGTGGAACCAAGCGTGTTCTAAGGCAGCATGGAAAAAGGAAGGCAGCTGGGTGGAGGCAGTTAAGGGAAAAATTCAGACATGTTGCAGTAATACTTGGTAAGCCTAGGGCAAGGAGTTTTCCCCAAAAAAGAGGGAAGAAAAGGGCATTCCTACTTCTGGGTATACATGTACATACCATTTTCCTCTTGTAAAGAGACCAAAGGCATAATAAAAAGGTAGCAACAAGAACTAACTCAAGACCCAACAATACCATAGAGAAATTACAAGCTCCCTTTAACTCCAAGGCTTTCAAAGATCCATCAGAGGGTTCGCTAAAGAGCCTCCATCTGAGTACAATGACAAATTGGTTTTTCTGCCACTTTCTACCAATAAATTACCAAACATTTATCAGGTGCCTACTCTGTGGGCACAGGGTTAACAGGAATAAAATAGCTCCAAGGAGTTTGTATTCTACTGGAGCTGTTAACACATCATATGTGGGTGTGTGGGTGAAGTATACACACTTAGTATATATGTAGGTAACATGCAGACTGTATGTGTACATTACATGTATTATATATGAATACACTACATACTGTGCACTGACAATGAATACAAGATAATTTAAGAAGGTGAGGAATGAGCAGCTGGGGAACCAAGAGAATCTCCATGCAGAACGGGTGTAAGCAGGTAAGCAGGGCTTCAAAGACATGAGGAAATGCATTCCAGAAGGGACAGAGATGAGAGATGGTGTACAATGAGGGAGGGATAGCAGGGTTACTGAATGCATGAGGGGGGGTGATGTACAATGATGCTGCAAAGGTCAGCTAGGGTCAAGTGGTGAAGGGTTTCAAAAGGCCAACAGGGGAGTGACCATTTTATCCTAGAGGTAACAGAGAGGTCCTGGAGTTTGCTGATCAAGGGAGTGACATAGTCAGACCTCTATTTAAGGAAAATAATTTGGCAACTGTGGAGAGATTCTTCGGGCAGCAAGAAAAACCAGAAGGCTACTACTGCAGTCCAGGTGAGAGGGACTGGGACTTGAGCTAAGCCAGAGGCTGTGTGAAGATCGAGACAGTGATGGACAAGGGAGAGGTGGTGGAGTTAGAAAAGGCCCAGAAATGCCTCCTACAGGTGAGAGGGGAGCAGAGTCTTGAACGAAAGCAGGAGGCTGAGTTAAGGAGGAGAGCTAGTGAAAAGGCACAGATTTAGAACCTGGAGTGTCATGTTCAAAGAGCATCAAGCAGGCCAGTGTACCTAGACTGAAGAGTACAAGGAAAGCAAAGTCAATCAACAGCCAGTTAACAAACATTCAATAAGCACACAGTACGTACAAGCACAGCATTGGGCTGAGTGCTGGGAATCCAAAAACAACCCCTCCTTTAAAGGAGGGAAAGGTAGAAGGGGTCACATGGTTAAGGGCTTTAGAAAGCAAAGAGAGGTAAGAGGGAGCCACGGGAGTTGATGGAGTAGGGAGAGATGAAGCCACACCTGCCCTCTGGGAAGATGGACTGGAGTGAGGCAGGCAGCCTCACCAGAGGGCCACTACAACAGTCACTTGGTGTTCAAGGGGCGGTGAGGGCGGGAGGGAGATGAGTACGAGTCAGGTGAGGATGCTGACACTGAGGTTGTAAGGCGCTGGGTGACTGACAGGCGGTGGTGCACTCAACAGTAATCGCTGAAATTTATTACTGATAGAGGAGTAACGGTAATAAGGAGGATGAGAAGAGGGCTTGGGAGGAAAGGATAAGGAGTTCTGTTCCAGATGTGTCAGTCTGAGATGTCTATGGGATATCTGATTCAAGATGCACGACAGGCAATTGTGGCTGATGTGACACTGGAGATCAGGAGAGAGGTTAGGGCTGGATAAATAGATTCAGAATCACCTACACGTTTCTCTAACTGTGCAGCAAACAACCCTGAAATACACCAAATTTTAAAAAATGAAACTTAAGTGGTTTGTTAACAGGCATTAAAATGATAACTTTAGAGGATTTTACTACACAAAGTTGTTTTTACCACTGTGAAAAAGTTGAGAATCACGTATAGAAGAAAAAGAGAAAAGGGCTTAGGACAGAACCTTGGAAAACATCCATTGTTAGTGGGTGTGAAGTGGCTGGAAGAAGATCCAGCACAAGAAATTAAGAAGTAGATATCAGACAGGCAGGAGGAGAATCAACAAGAGGGACTGACAGTGT